GGTGTCCTGGAGTGAGCTCTGAAAATGTTCTAATTTCCAGCATACTTAGGAAGGATAGAATAGGAAGAGTGCTTATTTGACTAAGAATTGTGACATCCCCTTTTTTTCCATTATCTTCAAGGCAGTTTTCCAGCTGTTTTCACTTTGCCCGTGAACTTTTCAGAGGAATTCTAAAATAAAGGTTGAACATATATTTCCGTAAATACCCATGTGCATCTTTAAAATACAGTTTTCCTGAAGCACACTATGGGAAGTGTAGGACTGATTCAGTGTTCAAATTGCATGTACTGTATATACAGTACATTTGTAAAACCAAACTGCAAAGCTGTTTTTTTCTGCAGGGGCAGAATCTGCTGTGGTAGCTAAGAATACTATGTCTGCCCTTTTCCTTATGTTCTTCTGGACACTAGTCACTGATCTGAAAATATGAAGATAATACTGTAATCTAATGTGATCTCTCATCTGACTGCACAGTAGACCTATTCAGGAATTTTACAATTTTAAGGAAGTTGCCCATTTGAAACTTATGGTAACTAGGATACATTAAATCACAAGGTATTCATGGTTGCTATTCTTGAGAAAGAACATGGGTTTAAAATGTGTTGGGAATCAGTGTAATAAACTTAGCATCTTGGCAGTGAGGCTTTCTGCACTCACTGGTTCTACCTTTTGCCATCCCTGGACAGTGGGGTGAAACACTTACTTCTACTTGCTGGATCACAGAGTAAATTGGGGATGTACAGTAATTGAGCAACTTCTTTACTCTGCTGGACAGTTCAGTTCTGTGTGCTTATTTTGATATATAAAGCCCTGAATTGACGGGGCCATAAGGCTGTCTTTGATTGAAACCAAGTTGATTTAAGAAAGACAAGACTGAGACTTGATTTAATAATGTGATTCTCTCACCAAGTTCTGTCTTGCTTTCTATATAGCTTTAATACATATTTTGCACAAACTGTTTGCCCAGATTGCTTCATCTTCCAGTAATCCTTTATTCATGGACTCCCTCCTATGTCCAAAAGTTTGCACTTCCAGGGGCTTGACCTGTGTGCACAAAGCTACAGAAAGAAGCTAAGGTTACCCTCATAAAAGAAGCGGCATTGCTCAAGGAAACTAGTGAAAGCAACCCTAGAGATTTTAATAGGGTTTCCAAGAATTCCCAGTATTGTGGCTAGAATCCTGTTGATCATTGTATAACTTGCTCCACCTAACAATGGCTACTTGACAAGGCAGTGGGGTGCATCTCCGTTGTACCTTTGTGACCATGCGTGTGACTGAGACGTGCCTTAACATTTCATCAGTTTGCTGCAATTCACTCTGGCAAGTTACACAACCCTTACACAGCCACTTCTCTGTGGAGAATCCCAGTAAGATTCTGGCCTTCTCTTGAAGCAACCTCAGCCAGAGTTGGAAAACAGGGCTGATGAGGTTTGTTATTTCACATCACCATGTATTGGAGAACTCTGCATTTTTCTGATCATATCTACTGTATTAGTCAGTACTAGGAGAGAGAGAATAACCTAAATGATTTGTATAGAAGCCGGTGAAATTGAGGCACCCAAAACAAGAACAGTTTGACCCTGTTTGCAGAACTTTCTAGAACAGATTCAGCAGGGGGTTGAACTCAGTGGTCTTATAGGCCACTTCCAACTTAGGTATTCTATGATTCTGTGACTACCTTGTCCTATAATATTGACGTGGAATATATAATCTTTATTCAGTAATGGAGTCTTTGAGCTGTACTAGATCTTCAATTAAAATTATTCTCACATTGAGCTTTAAAAAAATCAAAAAGCGTTTAACAATAAAAATTGTTGTTTATATATTTAAAAATCTGATACATAAAAGATACATTTTATTATTATTTTTTAAAATCATTCACTGACATTTACTCACAAGCCTGTGTCTAAGGAGAGTTTGAGTTCCTTGAGAGAAACTACAGTATGTTACACATCCTGTTGCTTTGGTGGGTACACAAGGGAAGGCTTTTTGAGCAGGAGCAGCCCACTTGTGGAACTCCTTTTCGGTGACCCCACACCTTTTTAGTGACATACATACATACATACATACATACATACATACATACATACATA